TAGCATTAATTATTTTAAATACAATACATCACAACAAATACAACACACTTTCAAATAAAATTTTTACTTTTATTCTATCGTCTCAATTATATATACACTATATTCTAATGCTTTCATCAAATAAACTAATTATTTGCAAATTTAGTTAAATATTATTTTATTATAAAGTGCTTTAAGTGTCTAGTCAACTTCAGGAAATGTGTTTGAATTAAAGTACATAAATTTAATTACGAAAATTAAATCATTTGAATATAAAATGATCATTAAATTTATTTTATATAATTTGCAAAACATTGATTTAAAACATACGTGAAATTTGCTTTGAATTTATAATGCAATTATGAATAACAAGTAATAACCAACTTTCTAGTTAAATATTAATTTCAAATTAATAATTTATAAGAGAGAGAGAGAGAGAGAGAGAGAGAGAGAGAGAGAGAACAGTCAGTAGCGATAAATAAATATTAATATATTAGCGAACAATTATAACATAAATCTCAGTCTTAACCCATTTCTGTCCATTTTTAATAACTAAAATTCATTTTTATTTAAATATAAATAATTCGTTGAAATATTATATACAAATGAGGAGCACTTGTCTGTCAATCTATGGCAAGTGGTTCTCATATTTGTTTAATAATAGGAATATTAAGCCAATAGAGAAGTTGCTTCTAGGTTCTTTTATTTATTTTCTTCTTAAATAAGTATTCAATGCAAATAATAAATATTTTTATTAATATTTAAATGTTTATACACTGTATATAAACGATGTTTAAACAACATTCACAGCAAATAGTAATTCCCATAAATTGTATTTTGCAATAAATAAAAAGNTTATTTTCTTCTGAAATAAGTATTCAATGCAAATAATAAATATTTTTATTAATATTTAAATGTTTATACACTGTATATAAACGATGTTTAAACAACATTCACAGCAAATAGTGATTCCCATAAATTGTATTTTGCAATAAATAAAAAGGTCTGACATTTGTTTTTTTAAGTTGGATATTAATGTCCGCGAATTAACAAATGATTTATCATTTCCTATAAGGGCTGTAAGATCAAGATGGATGAGCATGGTAATATAGTGGCCAAACGGTACAGTCGGTGCAGCATATTTATCAAGTCGTTTCAAAATGATTTCGCCGACTCAAGCGTTTCCAACGAAATCGTCAAAAACAACGGCTTAATTGAGTTACAGAAACCGTATTTATTATTCGATATGACAAAGTTTAAGACCAATGTTAGCCGAGAACTTCGCAACCCTTATCCCAACCGCAAGAAACTGGAGAATCAGTGCCTTTCGTGCATCGCTTTCGTCAGAAACAGCGCCAATATTCTCGAACTTCCCGTTTATATAATGATCATTAATATAGTGGCACTCGATTTGCTTAAGTCTAAGCTAACTCTCAGTACGTTTTTTGTTGCTTTTTGTAACCAATCGTCTCTAAATGTGTTTTCATTTGTGTTTGCAGTTCCCTATACTATACGGCAAAAGTCACAAAAACCAGCAAATATGGGAACCACGCGAATACCCGATTGGGTCTCACTATTCAATAAAACCGACAGACAGTCAGAAGAAGACCCGTATTCACTGCCGGCCAATGGATCCTCTTATGGTTCGGGTTTTTACGCCAATAATACGGTTAATACGGGAACTTTGCATAAGAAATCCACAGTTAGAGAACCAAAACCGCCTAAACTTCCCCCCAGAGATTTTGGCAAATATAAAAATAACAAGAAATTACCCGCAAATCACATTCAAATCCCAACTCCAGACTACTCTCAAGAGGAAGACTTCTATACAATGAATCAAAAGACAATGAAGAAGAAGCCCTTATGCAAGAGAGGTATGTGTTTACATAAAATTAAATGATTCAAGTATTTTATTAATAACAAACTGATTGTATAACAGATGAGGACCCGTACTATTGCGGTCTTGAGGCCAGAGTGACAAACTTTGTGAGACCAGTGGCCACACAGTCTAAGAAGTCGGTCGCGTGGCGTCAAATGCGAAAAGTGTTTTCCAGCGGTTATATCAACACATTGTTGCCTCCGTTGACCAAAAAGAAAAGATCCAAATCTTTTTACTACAACTCATCGGAATCGGATCCATACGCCTCTCTCAACGATACCATATATGAACCCATCTATGGAAGGGTTTCATCCAATTATTCAACCAATAAATACAAGCCCTCAACAGTTAGGAGTAGGGCTTACGTAAGCGAATGGCAGAATCACTACTAATTCACAATACATTTCCCCATTATTTGTGTCATTCTTTAAAATAATGTCTAAATAAATGAATTTATTAATGGATTTTATTATTAAAAGTTTAAATTAATTTTATAAAAACCAAATATTTTTGTCAATAAATAAATATTTTGTTTGATATTTGTTGTGATTGTATATATTTATTTGATGAATATTATTGAATTATTCAATTACTGTTATTTTAGTCAATTATATTAATTTTATAAAAACCAAATATTTTTGTCAATAAATAAATATTTTGTTTGATATTTGTTGTGATTGTATATATTTATTTGATGAATATTATTGAATTATTCAATTACTGTTATTTTAGTCAATTATCTATTAAAATATATTTCGTATTTAAAAGTTAATTCTCTCACTCGTCAGTAATTAGTTTCTTATAAATAATTCTTAAATAAGATAATTAAGATTCAGATACATTCGCAACTTGAAAATTATAACAAATGAAAATGAAATTACATCTATAAACTCTTTGAAAAGTCATAAACTGAACAGGGCAATTCTTTTGATAGCATAGTAAATATAGTAATTTTATAATCTATCAAACTAATAACTAAAGCCTTTCAAAATATGCATTTATAAGCAGTCAAATATGTCATATAATATGCACTAAAAAGTGGCAAAATATGCACTCAAATATGCATTTATAATTCTGTTAATATACGATATAAATATTATTTAATATAATTTATAAACAAAATGACCAATTGTTATGATGAAAATAGTCATTAGGTCTTAAAAAATCATTTAAATATTCTAAATTACAGAGAAAATATAAATTAAAAATATATGCCCTGTTTTTAAATGCTGTAATAATTGCTAGAACTACAGTAGGCAATACTTTAACACTAATATACAATGTTAATCAGATAGATATTTGTTTTATGACTTAATATTCTGTTCAATTATACAACTAATTTTAAACAATTGTAAATTTTCTAATAGATTAAACATTTTAGTTATGATTTTTGAGCAAATCCGTGCCTTTTACGATTTTAGACCAAAATATTCACTTATATGCATTTATGAGCCTAATATGCATTTATATGCAAAATAAAAGTTCGCCAAAACACCCCTTATTATGTCATTCGTTAGCCCCCAAAGTCCCAAGCATATATTACTAACCGGTAAAAACATGCATTTGCATGATATGAAAGGCTTTACTAATAACCATATTTTAGTATTTCCAAAAATAATATTAACTTAATATTTGGTAATATTCTATACTTTAATATACTGTTTGTATATAAAAATATTAATAAAAAAAGCAAAATATTTGTCTAACAAAACACTGAATCGATGGAAGTAAACATTGAATTGGGGTAACAATGTTATACATATAGTTGTATCAGATATTGTCTTATTTAGCGTATAATACATTCCTATTGAGCTGTTAATGTCTTACAATAGCTGTGAAACTTGTAAGTCTTGAATTCAAATAACTGTAAACCAAAACACAAACACATTCTGTTTGGAAGACTTTCTAACTGTAAGAATAAGTATAAGTCATACTAAAAGTCATGCAATAATACAGGAATTACGAAAACAACCTTTTTATACACACATCAAGTCTATAAATAAATAGTGTATTATTTACAAAAATTAATTGTTTATTTCTTATTTTTGAATTGTATTTAATAGAAAGTGTTTTCAATATTGTATTTCTTATCAATAAACAACAAAATTGAAACTTAGAAACTGTTTGAAAAATAGCATTAAATTAGAAATTTAACAACTATTTAATGATTTTTGGGGCCAAAGAATAATTTTTACATACAATATAAACAAAAATCTCATTTCTATAATGAGATGTGAGAATAATAATTAATTGAAGTTGTGTTTCAAATTAACACTTAAACTATCAAAAATATAAAGTGGTATTATATCACAATATACTGTATCACTGATATATTGTATGTTATATTAATATTTATGGTGTCATTCTGTCTCATATTTCCACAAAACTTAAATTAGATTTTAATTATTTTTGTCTCATCTCTTAAAAACTTTTTTCTGTTAAATAATGCCATAATAAATGAAGTGATTTTTAAGTATCACATTTCGATGCACTCGTCGATCAATTGTGTCATAATTTTTATACCAAATGATATTCACATCATTTATATTCATATCATTTACTAATGGCATCAAAATATTTTATGGAAATAATTTTAACGCTTATGTTATGAATGATATAATGTATTCATTTATTTAAAATTTACTTCAATTATTTTAAAAGTTTATCGCAAATTAGTTTGAATGATAAATATTTCTTTGATACAAATTATGGTCATTTCTGATTTCACATTCAGACAAACGTGGTATAAAAGTATAACCATATCTCGGGTCGGATTTTATTATAATTTATTAGGATTTTTGATTAAAATAATATAAATTAAAAAATATATTATTATATTAATTGGATAAAACAATTGCATTAAATTACTATTGAATTACTATTATAAAAAAAGTTGATTAAAACAAGTAATTAACATAAGTAATTACAAAATTAATATTATTAATAACTGTTAGTAACTAACTCTAATTGACAAAAATAAGTAAAAACTCAATTATAAAAATGTTATCTCAAATGACAAAATGTTAGCAATAAAAACAAAAAAGTTATTAATTAAATGGATTAATAAATTGATAGCAAATAATAAGTTATTCATAAATATTGTTGAAATATTGACAAATTAAAAAACAAACAATAAATTGTTAACAAATGCAATATCATTACAAATATTATGGATGTGTCGATGATTTGCCGAAAGTATTTTCTCCGCTGTAAGCCATATAGAGGAAGCCGTCCTCATCCCTGTGCTGCTGATAGATCTCTCCCATGAGAGCACTATAAACAAGTCATTTAGTGTTAGTAATGCTCAGCAAAAAGCTTCTCATTTGAGTCGACGAAAAGCACATACAGAATAACCATTAAAAGTATAATCAAATTATTAATACAATAATAACAATGTAACATAAAATACGATTATTATATAATGAAATTGAGTTCTAAAACAATTTATAAATGATTATAATTTCGGTATTAATCGATATACGGGTAGAATGTGTGTGAATGTCATACCAGGCCTGCGGTAGAGTGCGGTTTACAAACAGAAATATTGCTTTACTCGCCGAAAATCGACACCTCTTACGGATTGTCCACTGAAACTGAGCGACAGTGCAATCGTATGGCACCAGGAATTTGTCCTTATCAAGCTCAGTTATGTGCGAATTGGTATACCTTTCAATGATTACCTTAATTAAAAGCCAAAATAAGACATTAGTTTTATTGTCCCACAAATTTCACGGCAAATATATACTGGAATACGATCCGGATATTTGCTCAACATTTCTAATGACTCCTGTTTTCTTTCATCTGTTATTTTCATTAAATAAAATACAGTTTAGTTATTTGAGTAAATAAATGGATACTTGTTTTCGTTGAGGAATTTCAGTTTTAACTCATTATTAGATAACAAAATATTATTCATGAAATGACACAAATAATTGTTTTAAAAAACTTACCCAAAGTGTGACTTTCTTTAAATTTCCAGCGCATTGTAATTTAATTATAAATAGTATTTAAACAAAATCTACACAAATTGTTGATAACTTGAAAGAATTTAACTTTAGTTTTGTAAATAAGTATTTATTTAATTAAATATGAAACGATTTTAATTATGAAAAAACTTTAAATAATAAAAATTAAATACAAGACAACATTAATGAACACAACAAATGAACAAATGCTGGAAAAAGTCATACAATGTTTTTGGCGTTAAATATAAGGATTGAAACTCAAGTGGAGAAGCAATGCGAAAATATTTACTCAAAAATACGTGATTTTCTCTTCACATCACAATTAATAGTAATTTTCTATTTTATTACAAATTTAATTAAATATAATTAGTTTTGTTTTGTTTTACACATAATTACAATAAATATTAAGATAAAATATATGTATGTTATATGGCGTTAATGAGAAGACATGTCTTGATTTGTGACAATTATAATCGTTGAAGTATTTATTTTGATGTCTAAAAAATTGTTCACTTATTTGAATGAAATCAAAGTTTATATAAATATTGATTCGTTATGAACGCCTCATATCAATGGTGTAAATACATTGATAATGATTTATATTTAGAAATTAAACAAACGTTAAGTTAAATATTAATCTAACAGTGATTTTTGTTCATTAAAGTAATTATCTTTTCAGAAACACTGATTAGTGTCCAAACAAATGCTTAGAGTCTAAGCCTTAGACCTAGTATGGGTAGCAATAAAAAAAATGCATTGAAACCAGTCATTTTTTCCATTGAAATTTACACTCAGTGTAAATTTTACCCTTACTAGCCTTAGACTATAAGGTACTGAGATTTTCCTCTTTTTCTTTACAACAATTTTTCTTAAACTTTACTCTATTTAAGATTTATATTAATATTTTCAATGTCTGTAAAAGTTTGAAAGTTATAATTTAATTGAAATAATGTAAGGTTTCTTATAAAATTATAATCTTACAAGTTAGGAATATTGTATGTTTTATTATTTATCTCTAATTTAAAATATATTAATTTTTTTAATGGTATAATTAAATTTAAAATCTCTTAAATAAAATGAAAGAAAAAGTAAAAATTGTAATATTGATTATTCATTATTCTAATGGCTTGTAATTTAAATATAAAACTACAAAAACAAACAAATCCTATTGCTATTGGATTTTTAATGAATAAAATAAACTATTTTTAAAACATTTAGCATTAGTTTTAGGGAAAACATTTTTAGACTTATTTCGTTGAGCTAAACATATTATACAGTAGTTATTCATAAATATTGTTGAAATATTGACAAATTAAAAAACAAACAATAAATTGTTAACAAATGCAATATCATTACAAATATTATGGATGTGTCGATGATTTGCCGAAAGTATTTTCTCCGCTNCTTCCCCCCAGAGATTTTGGCAAATATAAAAATAACAAGAAATTACCCGCAAATCACATTCAAATCCCAACTCCAGACTACTCTCAAGAGGAAGACTTCTATACAATGAATCAAAAGACAATGAAGAAGAAGCCCTTATGCAAGAGAGGTATGTGTTTACATAAAATTAAATGATTCAAGTATTTTATTAATAACAAACTGATTGTATAACAGATGAGGACCCGTACTATTGCGGTCTTGAGGCCAGAGTGACAAACTTTGTGAGACCAGTGGCCACACAGTCTAAGAAGTCGGTCGCGTGGCGTCAAATGCGAAAAGTGTTTTCCAGCGGTTATATCAACACATTGTTGCCTCCGTTGACCAAAAAGAAAAGATCCAAATCTTTTTACTACAACTCATCGGAATCGGATCCATACGCCTCTCTCAACGATACCATATATGAACCCATCTATGGAAGGGTTTCATCCAATTATTCAACCAATAAATACAAGCCCTCAACAGTTAGGAGTAGGGCTTACGTAAGCGAATGGCAGAATCACTACTAATTCACAATACATTTCCCCATTATTTGTGTCATTCTTTAAAATAATGTCTAAATAAATGAATTTATTAATGGATTTTATTATTAAAAGTTTAAATTAATTTTATAAAAACCAAATATTTTTGTCAATAAATAAATATTTTGTTTGATATTTGTTGTGATTGTATATATTTATTTGATGAATATTATTGAATTATTCAATTACTGTTATTTTAGTCAATTATTTATTAAAATATATTTCGTATTTAAAAGTTAATTCTCTCACTCGTTAGTAATTAGTTTCAGATTCAGTTTTAATTAAGATTCAAATTCATTCGCAACTTGAAAATTATAACAAATGAAATTACATCTATAAACTCTTTGAAAAGTCATAAACTGAGCAGGGCAATTCTTTTGATAGCATAGTAAATATAGTAATTTTATAATCTATCAAACTAATAACCATATTTTAGTATACTCTTGTTCAAAGTAGTTCCTTTTGGGAACTTGGAGTAGAAAAGCCAATTGTCATAAACAAAATTAAAATTAGGTTTTAAAGTTTGGATTAAAAATTATTAATCATTTGAATAAATGAACATATTATACACAGAGGGTCAAATGTTCATAAAATTGTTGATAATCGCAAACAATATCAGAAATCTCATTAAAATGTGTATTTAATAATTAAATTTTGTTTTAAATAACGTTTTGTGGATAGACTAAAAGCCAATCACTATAAAAATGAGTAAGAAACTATTAGGTTGACCTTCACGCGGTGTTTCTCGTTTAACACTGACAAACATTAACTTTGTTACTCACCGTTGCGCCACCTTTTTATGGCATACTGTGAATCTGTATCTGTGATATGCTAAAAAAGATTGAACACCAATATTTTAGTATTTCCAAGAATAATATTAACCTAATATTTGGTAATATTCTATACTTTAATATACTGTTTGTATATAAAAATATTAATAAAAAAGCGAAATATTTGTCTAACAAAACACTGAATCGATGGAAGTAAACATTGAATTTGGGGTAACAATGTTATACATATAGTTGTATCAATTATTTTCTTATTTAGCGTATAATACATTCCTATTGAGCTGTTAATGTGTTACAATAGCTGTGAAACTTGTAAGTCTTGAATTCAAATAACTATAAACCAAAACACAAACACATTCTGTTTGGAAGACTTTCTAACTGTAAGAATAAGTATAAGTCATACTAAAAGTCATGCAATAATACAGGAATTACGAAAACAACCTTTTTATACACATATCAAGTCTATAAATAAATAGTGTATTATTTACAAAAATTAATCATTTATTTCTTATTTTTGAATTGTATTTAATAGAAAGTGTTTTCAATATTGTATTTCTTAGAAACAAACAACAAAATTGAAACTTAGAAACTGTTTGAAAAATAGCATTAAATTAGAAATTTAACAACTATTTAATGATTTTTGGGGCCAAAGAATAATTTTTACATACAATATAAACAAAAATCTCATTTCTATAATGAGATGTGAGAATAATAATTAATTGAAGTTATGTTTCAAATTAACACTTAAACTATCAAAAATATAAAGTGGTATTATATCACAATATAAATGTACTGTATCACTGATATATTGTATGTTATATTAATATTTATGGTGTCATTCTGTCTCATATTTCCAGAAAACTTAAATTAGATTTTAATTATTTTTGTCTCATCTCTTAAAAAACTTTTTTTCTGTTAAATAATGCCATAATAAATGAAGTGATTTTTAAGTATCACATTTCGATGCACTCGTCGATCAATTGTGTCATAATTTTTATACTAAATGATATTCACATCATTTATATTCATATCATTTACTAATGGCATCAAAATATTTTATGGAAATAATTTTAACGCTTATATCATGAATGATATAATGTATTCATTTATTTAAAATTTACTTCAATTATTTTAAAAGTTTATCGCAAATTAGTTTGAATGATAAATATTTCTTTGATACAAATTATGGTCATTTCTGATTTCACATTCAGACAAACGTGGTATAAAAGTATAACCATATCTTGGGTTTCGCATTTTATTATAATTTATTAGGATTTTTGATTAAAATAATATAAATTAAAAATATATATTATTATATTAATTGGATAAAACAATTGCATTAAATTACAATTGAACGACTATCATAAAAAAGTTGATTAAAACAAGTAATTAACATAAGTAATTACAAAATTAAAATTATTAATAACTGTTAGTAACTAACTTTAATTGACAAAAATAAGTAAAAACTCAATTATAAAAATGTTTTCTCAAATGAAAATGTTAGCAATAAAAACAAAAAGTTATTAATTAAATCGATTAATAAATTGATAGCAAATAATAAGTTATTCATAAATATTGTTGAAATATTGACAAATTAAAAAACAAACAATAAATTGTAAGCAAATGTAATATCATTACAAATATAATGGATGTGTCGATGATTTGCCGAAAGTATTTTCTCCGCTGTAAGCCATATAGAGGAAGCCGTCCTCATCCCTGTGCTGATGATAGATCTCTCCCATGAGAGCACTATAAACAAGTCATTTAGTGTTAGTAATGCTCAGCAAAAAGCTTCTCATTTGAGTTGACGAAAAGCACATACAGAATAACCATTAAAAGTATAATCAAATTATTAATACAATAATAACAATAGTAACATAAAATACGATTATTATATAATGAAATTGAGTTCTAAAACAATTTATAAATAATTATAATTTCGGTGTTAATCAATATACGGGTAGAATGTGTGTGAATGTCATACCAGGCCTGCGGTAGAGTGCGGTTTACAAACAGAAATATTGCTTTACTCGCCGAGAATCGACACCTCTTACGAATTGTCCACTGAAACTGAGCGACAGTGCAATCGTATGGCACCAG